GAAAGTTTAGGGTTTAACATTCTGAAACCGATTGTTGGCATTTTGATTTCAGCCAAGTCAAGTTTAAGGATTTAATTGCCTAGTTTTTTTTAGATTTAAGCAACTTGGCCTGAATATGCATTGAGGTAAAAGTCCAATTACACTTTTAAAAAAAAATATAAACTTGTGCCCATGTACTTTAGATGATATACTGAAGTGCTTAAAACAGGCAATTTGCATCAGATACAAGATTAAATGGTGTTGAGATCCCAGCACTGCTTACTCATTTAGTGCCAAAATTGCCATGCCCAGCTAAAACCCTTCTAGAATTATCTTGCAACATACTCATGTTAAAATATTAACATTGCACAGGCCGGACCAACATCTATACGTTTTAAGGGTTTCCCCTCAGAAGTTTAGCTAAAGTATCATCTTTCGCCAATAATGTCACATCAGAGACTAGTTTACATCCGAGCAGAGATGGAGGTAAACAGCTATTTATAGGCAGGCTACTTGAGAGTCTGAACATCCTTCATGATACTAATGACAGACAAGACAAACATTATTAGCTTCATGTTTATTTCCATTTTACTGCATCAATATAAAATTGGATTTTCAAATTAAGTTTCCATAGACAAACATTTAAGCTATATAATGAACAACTTACAGTGACAATGTGGGAAGGAATTGAACAGGGTATGGTACAAAAAGTCAAGGCACACCTTGTTGTAGCATTGAGTGGAACGCTTTAAAACCTCTGCAGGCAGGAACCCTTCAGCTCAGCTTTAATAAAATGACCATTTTTACAAGGAGGGACAGAATAGCCAGCATTCAATATCTCCTATGGGCAGAAACTTTATTCACTTCAACTTGAAATTCATGTAAATTTAAAATGCAGAGCACGTGAGGGAAAACGTTCTGCCTAAAATCAGAGCTGTGCTTCATCAGGACTTGATTCAGTAAACCTCCACCAAGCACGAACATGCCAGCCTCTCCAGAAGAGGCAGGCTGACGACATGCGCAGGGATCACTGGTTTATTTATTTATTTTTATTCATTGATGGGAGGGGGCGGAGGAGCAGGATTGAAGTTTGAGTGTTATTCAGTAGCAGGAGAAGCCAGGAGTGGTTGCCCTGGTCGGTTTACTGTCCATCTGAGAGTTTTGGAAGAGATCTGACCCATCACAAAACACCTCACTATTTCAAGTCCGTTTGAGGAGAAAAGGGCGAGGAAAACAGATGCAGTTACTTCTATCTCATGAAGTTTCCTCCTCCAATTTCCCTCTTGTACCTGTTGGTGAGGTGGTCTGCCTGCATGGTCAGCTTGGACAGCACGCCAAACAGTCCTCTGAGGTGGTAATGAAACTGATGCTGCAGGTCAGCGTTGTCATCCACGTGCATGTCTCCCTTCGCCGCCTGCTGCTCTTCCTGCTTCACCGCCATCTCCAGGAAGCTGGCACCGCTGCTCACCTCCCTCTTCAGCAGGCCCCACTCCATGTCGTTCTTTATGGACTTGAGCAGCAGGTAATGCTCGTACATGTCCCTCTGCTTGTTGCTGCACGGCGGTTCGTTGTTGTTGTTAGCCTGCTGCTCGTCCAGCGGCATGTCTCGCAGCAGGCTCGGCACCATGATGGTCTCGTCCATGTTGTTGGTGGCCGCTATGAAGCGGTGCATGACGTTAATGAGGGAGTGCTTGTTGCCGACGGAGTCGCTGCTGATCTGCATCATTTTGAAGGCTGTAAGGTTACAGTGTAGCGCAGACGGGTGGATCTTTAAAGGCAGAGCTGTTTGGCTGGTGATCTGCAAGATGAAGGGAGGGATGATTAGGATGCAGGAAAGGTGCAGGGAGATTGAGCAGACTCTGCAGAAATGCAGCACAGCAAGGGCAAATCCCTCTGAGACAGCTTTACATAATCAGCACGGACAATAAAACACCTGCAGCACGCCGGACTAAAGCCTGGCTGCAGGGGACCGACACCGCGAGCTGACATCTCTAATAGAAAACAGATGAAGACTTCCGTATGCTTCCAATCTATACCATCATGCCCGAAGCGCATCACTATGACCTCGATTTCCTGCTGCTGAAATTCAAACATCCCTTCAGTTAGAGAGGCACTGAGTAAAAGACTGACCTGGAAACCTGAGGGAAAGCTTGCCTGGTGTCCTGGTTGGTTAACTCAAGTCTTCTCAGGCAGCGTACAGCACCCGCTGGGAAGAAAAATAAAAATTTCTTCAGCTGACTGACAGATAAGCGCTGTTTTTATACCCAGCAGCCGGGTTGGGCGGTAGGAAGGACTGAAAGTCCGGCCTCTTTGGGTTTTACTGCAGAGCCAGTTGGGCTGCATGACAACTGCAGGCGGGGCTTCTGCAGCGTCTGATCCAAAATTGACCAATGAAATGAGATCTGGCAGCAGCCACTCAAATATGTTTGTTCTGGGCTCGCCTGCGATTAGCTGCACCCTGTTTACTGCTCATCTTTTCCGGGCCGTTTGTCCCCTGAAGGCAACACTGGTGTAAGTCTCCGTGCAGCTCTTTGCACGTCGGGTTTGTCAAGAGTTGAACTCATAGATGGTTTAAGATTCAACTAAGCATCCCCCCACACACGCTCACTCTCCGTCCTTTATTGGCTTGTATATATCTTGCACAGCACTGCCGCCTGGCGGTTAAGTTGTGTCGGTTCAACTGAAGCGTCCTCGCTGATGCAATACACTCATCCAAACGACACATGACCCCAGGAGCAGCACGTGTCACCAGGTGGAGCATCCACTGTGTCACGGGTGTCCCTAAAAGTCTGGCATAAATTTCAGGCTTTTAGCTGTATTTTCACGAGTTTTACAGCTTTTTCCACTGATAAAGATCTCCCTCGATGCCAATCTTAGTGCAGCAGTTAATTTAATTAATAAATAAACAATAAAATCACAGAAAAGTAGACATTTCTGTTTTGTTTAGGTCCACAGTAAAAGAAGAAAAAAAGATCCAAACAAAAAAGGACATTTTCTGTAAAATAACAATTTTCTGTTTTATAATTACAGGATAATTTACTGTGAATTTACACATTTATTTCTTCCAATTTAAGCCCAAAGAGTCATGCTGGCGGACTTTTTTCATTTACTACAGCAGCATTTCTTTATCTTGTAGAAAAACTGTTGAAATTGCACACATTTTTCTTATATTAAGATATCTAAGGGATTAAATGTGAAGTTGAAACTTCTTTACACTGACAAAGGGCAGAGATTCATTCATTTGCCACACTAAGGATCAAAGTGGAGCTGCATTTGGTGCGTCATGTAAAATGAGTTTGACATCCCTGCATTATTGGATTAGTTTCACCTGCAATTTTCCTGAGTAAAACCAGCAGTCAGTGCTTTGAAAAGCATGGCACAAGTTGCCTGTGTCTAAGCTGTGAGCAATAGCCAAAGCTTATACATATTTATAGAAGCCTGCTTGTATTCATCAGCATGAATTCAATTATTTATTTACAGTCTAATGTGTTGGTGTACAGAGGCAAAGCTACAGAAATGGTCTGTGTCCTTGCGTCAAACATCATGCAAATCAAATTTGACCCCACCAGAAACTGGTTACCTCAGGGCAATAAAGCGCTATAAGGGCACTAAAATGTCACAGTTTTCTACATATGCTCATTTTTATTTTAATGAACATCAACTAAATTTTCTTAGAAGCATTTAATGTGTGATTGTATGGTTCCGTGTGTGCCTATCATTGATAACTATTCTCTGGAACTTCATGAAACACTTACTGTCTTCAAGTTCACTCTCCTTGTTGAAGGAATGGGGCCCAAATGCCCAAACACATTCTTTTCTCCCATAAAATATTTATGTGCTCATATCCTGTAAGTTAACATGAGTTCATGCAAGTATTAAATGATGCAATTAAGCAAGTTGTAGCAGGCGAGCACCAGAAAACATAAAACAAGCAGTGTCAAGTATCAGAGTTCAGAAACACAGTTTAAATGTACTAAGTTACATTCCACTACTGCTCATCTAACTCAGTGACGCTGTAGGATTAACAGCACTACGCACCAATTCTAAGGAAACTTTATTTAACAAACTGCAAATGAGCAACGTCTCTCAGGCCTTTGTAGAAGTTTAGAGTTCAATCAGCATAGACTGTGTTGATATTTATTTTGTCAACAACGGCATATTACCAAAGCACAGAGGTATAACTGGTGGTTATACCTCCTGCACATGCACATCATGTCAGCTACACCCAGTGACTGTTTCGTTTGCTGTGCAAACAGTTAAACCTGAAATTAAAGAGACGTAGGTTGTGCTTTTATTATTTGGCCACAATAATAATTTTCCCCCCCCCCCAAGGCTTTTTAGAACGAAAAAAGGTTTATTTGAATGAAATATCAAACCATTGTGCAAAGACCTACCACCTTCATACACATCAGGAGAAATGACTAGCCAGTGAAAATACAACAGCTGCGTGTAGCCTTGTTACAGCCGTTTACATCTTTTACTATGCTGAGTGGTAGAAGTGAAGAACAATGTGGTGTTCACCCTTTAACTTCACCCCTGCAAATTATAGAAGTTAGGTAATGAAGGGGAGTCTGGTTTTCCTGGCTGTCAGCCACAGCCATGCATGAAAGTTCAAGGCCGCGCTGTGTTTTTAGTGTGTAGTTTAATAGTGTAACTGTGTGACAGGTCTTTACGTTACAGATGCAATTAGAGTGCATTATGAAAAAAAATGGGAATCTTGACAAAGTGGATGGTAAATTCTTATTTGATCATTCAGGCATTTTTAGTATTTTGTATTTTTATGTGCAGTTACTTTAATCGCACATCAAACATGCTATTTAAATCCATAAAGTTGTCTTCCACTGAAAAACAGAGATGCTTTCATATCTTGAAGTTTATTAGCATTCTTCTAAAGGCCCCAAATATCCAGGGCATGTTTGTCTGCCAAAAATCACCTGCTGCCACAATATTTGTGTTTCTTTCTTTTTTTGTGAGCAAACAGCTGTACAGACAGTTGCTAAGAACGCACACTGTCAGAGACACTGGATTTCATCTTTTATTTTCAAGTATTTCACATGCATCCACACAAGAATAACACTAACACTGAAAACTGTGGTAAGAAGTCAGGTGTAGTTGGCACACATAATTGGTAGGGCTCGCTTTCCCACACAGCTCCTATAAATCATTTGTACTTGATTTCAGGAAGGTGACCTGTCCATTTCTAGGGCTTATAAAGGCTTCACACATAAAGATACACAGAAGTTTAACATTAACAGCTTATTATTGTCTACATTTCATCTGCTCAGCTACAGACTACTACCAAAAAAATTATAACACAAGGCAACTGCGAAACAAGAAATGAAAATGTTGCTGTCAAATTAACTCAAATAAAAAAGTGACACCAATACACAACATAAACACTAAATGTAATTTCCCTAATTTACTCCAAGAATAACAAATGACCTGTGAAAAGTTCCGAGTATTCTCCCTTTTTGATGCTCCGCAGACGTGATTCCCTTGTGCATTGGTGAGATTGAATAAAAGAAAAAGCGGTGAGTGTCTTCCATCTCTAAAATTACATGATAAGAAACACAAAGACAAAATATTAAAATCCCAACTCAGTTCGCACCAGGACCGGCTCATCAGTGACCTGCAAATAAAAGCAGAAAGACCGTTACAAATCCTCCTCAGAACAATCTGTATGACTTGCTGTTATGATAACTCCCTCATAAAAGACATACCTGTGGCCGGTGACTGTTAGACCATCTCATACTGGTTGTTGGTGATGTATCGAGACAAGCAGCAGGCCAGGAATATCCCAATGAGCTGAAACCACAGTACACAAATTTCAATCTGCGGCCCAAAGTGACATCTGAGAAAAAACATTTCTATGGCTTCCTGAAACCTTAAATTACTTAAAAAACAAAACAAAAAACAAAACAAGCAACAATTACTTCCTTTTTTGTGTTTTCACAGATTTATTTACATCTTGTATTCATTAGCAAGACGCATGACATCTGCATTAAATTCTGTTCTTTTGTCCCATTTTTAGTTTTTTTTAGTCAACGTTTAAATGATTCTCTTTCTTATACTTTGTTAATTCCTGGGTTTTGATATTTTTGTGTGGATGGATGCTGGATAACGTGGCAGCTGTACTGATCTGCTGAGGAGAAGAGAGCTGAATGTAAAAGCAAAGCTGTTCAGTTACCCGTCGCTCTGCGTTCCTGCTCTCACTAATGTCCACGAGCTGTGGGCATCGTGGATATAAGAGACAGGAATTAGAAATGCCTCCTGGGACGCCTCCTATGTGAGGTGTTTCAAGCACTTTCAATTGGGAGGAGGCCACGGGGCAGACCCAGGACATGTTTGACAGATACTGTCTCTCAGCTGGTTTGAGAACACTTCTGTGAGGAGCTGGAGAAGATGTCTGGGTGTCTATGCTTAGACTCCTGCTCCGACAACCAAGGTCAGTGACAAAAAAAATTACTAGATGAATAATCAGACAATGTTATGGTAATTTAAACATGTTTTCTAACTATTCTTTCCTTATGGCTCATGTTTGAAATAAATTTAAAACATGGGTGATTATAGTGACCCATTTGATTTAGGGGCTGTTTAAACTGGGTATTTAAATGACTTTCACCATTACTGTAGCAATGTTGTTTGTTTACTCAGGTTTTGTGTTGGTTTCTGGAGACTTGGAAAGATTTTACATTTGTCTTAACTGGAAAGCACTTGGGTCAAGTCTACATAAATAAAAGTGACTTGACTTCTCGTATGACTGGAAAACTGTGGCTATACCGCAGAACCACAAGTTGCACAGTTTTCCACTTATAACCTTCACTTACTCTAAGTCAGAGCTTTGCATGGAGCAGCCACACTAATGCTCAGACAGGCTACAAGTAACTGTAAACATCAACTACACTGTGAGTCACTCTGAAAGAACTAGGAAGATCCTTCTCCACACCTGTGCTACAATGGTGGAAAAGAAGTATACCAAAACTTCAGCATGACAAAGAACCAGTCGATAATATAGCATCTGTGAAAGATGATTATTAAGTGGAGGTATGAAATGAATTTGGGGTAATTCCCAAATGTTATGGCTTTATAAATGCTTTAAATATTGATTCACGGGAGACTATGGTGACTGGCTTGATTTGGGGCTTGTCTCAAGTGGCCACCTTTGGAGTGGCATGTTGCTGCTTTGTGCAAAAATGACCTACAAGTGATTTTAGCAATGCACACTGGGCAACGTGGCTCAATAAACTTGAGTCTGATATCAGAATGTAGACTGTATGAGGGGAATAACTGCTGAATCAGAGCCAAGATGCACAGCTGCTGTGGCTCTGCTCTAGGTCTCCATGCTACGTCCCCCTTGGTGCAGTCTTGAGAACAGCTGGAGAACACATCACACAAACAAGCTTATGTTGCCACATTTCAACTAGATTTTCTCTCACTGTTGGAAATCATTTCCTGCTGTGTTCCTGTTTGTTGGTTAGTCACAGCAAAATAAAAAATAAAAAATAAAAAAATCAAGACAAACCCTCCAGCTGATCTGCCCGTCCTTTTATTTTCATCCTAACGTGGTGAAAACGGAGCTTTTTCATTAATAGAACAGACGTGAAAAACCTTTTCTTATACTTATTACTTTGAGGCAGACTGCTGTGATTCCTTAGGCTTAAAACATTCCTTTTTGTTAAAGCAGGATCAGGTGAGCCTGAAACATTCCCATAGTCACATTAATACGGTGAGGATTTTTCTCCACTCCTCTTTTCAATCCTGACGTGTTTACATGCCAATACTGCACGTCACAAACTTGTGTCTACTCTCCCACAGTTTGTGTTCTGTCCTCGCCTCTCTGTGGTTGCCTCTCCCCGAGGGTGGTTTTGCTGGGCGTTCTTTCTTCCCACAGTCACCAAGTCCTTGCTCATAGGATAATTTGGTTGTTGGGCTCTCTCTCTAACATTTTAGGGTCTTCACCTTATAATATAAAGTGGCTTGGGGTGACCGCTGTGAATTGGCACTACATAAAATCACATTTAACTGAATTAACATAGGTTGGTTATTACTTCAAGAAAAACAATACTAATTGGTTCCTACATCCGGCTTCAATTGTTCAGCTTTTCTTTGGTTTGTAGCCACAAACTGTTTCCATATAACAGAATATTAGACATACCTGAAAGAAGGCAATTCCAAAAGAAATCCCAGCAATTATTCCCAGGTTGTTCTCCATTGTGGTGCTTACCAGCACAAAGCAGCCCTTCACAACAGGAAAAAACAAAAAAAACCCCTCAGAATTAAACAAAGTTATATTGAACCAAAACCTTTTACAAATACAGCTGACCATCTTTGAGATGAACTGCTTGTTCCAAACTCACCGTTGTGTACACCACATTCTCAGCCTTGGCAAGATCCTTCAGTGCTTCTGGTGAGCAGTTATCGCTGTCTTTACAGCAGCTGACCGGGATGCCTTTCTCTTGAAAGTACTTTGTATTGTTCCAGTCTGTGTAATTATACACCCCGCAGCAGTGCAACTAAAAGCAAAGAGTCACAACAAAAAAAAAGAAAGAAAACAAAGCTATGTTGTGGATTCACCCTTTGAGAAGACAGTGATGAGAGCAACATGGTTCAAGGAGAGTGCTCCTGTGCGTTCAGTGTTGAGTTGACCTTTAAAATGTTCATATAAACAAGAGCCCTCTGGTGTGTACAGAGAAACATAAAGTCAGATAAATGCAACGCCACTAGGGTGATGGAAAATCTCCCACTTACATTCCTCTGGATGGTGTCCACTGGATTCTTGCTCTCCGTGCCGTTGTACTTTATCACTGCGTTTTTATAGCCGTTGTCCAGTGTGGCTTTGATCTGATGAGTTCAAAATAAAGGCGTCACATACATAACAGAGGGGTTGACTTTGAGTTGTGCTAGCTGAAACCTGACTGGGAGATAACGGGTATCACAATAGTGGTATTCATCTTTTCGCTGCAGACGCTGCACACGCTCATGTGATTGCACGACTTCACCGTTTGTGATGTTGAACTTGTTTTAACCTGTTTCAAGAAACTTTCACCCATGAAAATAAATGACAAACATTCCCTCAGTGTCATGTTACAGTTTCATTTTGATTCAAGCGTACCAACTGTAAGTTTAACCCACCTCATGTCAAAAAATATTTCCATTTCCTCACCTCATGCCTGAAGATGAAGCCTGAAACTCCAGCCACGAGCTCAGCCAGGAAGACCAAGGTCAAAAACATGGCATACTGAGAAACACAAAAGACAAAAAACAGTCATGCAAGGTCATTTCTGAGACTGGGAATGTTTCCTACTGCTCTTTCACCGACCAGTTTGAGCATCCACGGGCTGCCACGGCATGTGGCGAAGCAGCCGAACAGTCCGAAGATAACGATGATGGCTCCGGTCCCGATGAGGACATATGGCGCGTTGGTGCTCTCCTCAGCAGCCAGGGAGAAAAAGGTCTCCAAGCTTACCTTCCCCCACACGCCAACGGCCAGCAGGATCACGCCTGTGACCTGGAGACAACAGAAGAGCGAGTCAGCTCAAGAATCAAAGATCAACAGAGAAACGCAAGGAAGGCTTTTAGGACCTGTGACTGATACGGGTCAAGACCAACCAGCTACTTAAGAGTGTGGTTAGCATTCAGGAACACAATCATTTCATTTCAATTTATTATGTAGCTCTAGGGAAAATCATAAACAATGAGCAGCTTAATTAAAGAAAGAGAAAGCTAATTAATTTATCTGTGGATCACCAGGGGGGAAAAAAATATCTACTGACTTCAGCTTCCAAAATATAAAGATCTCTTTTTTGTCACATATGATAATAAAACCTTTTTTTAGTAATTATACACACTTAAAAACATTTTAAATCTATTATTCTGCATGTGTATGTACTTTGACAGACTGGTGATCTACCTTGAATCTCACTTTTACTTGAGAACCGTGTCGGTCTGCATCCAGAGAAAACACAATTTCCCTTAGCGACTTCCTTTATTAAATCTGCACTGATCTCAGGGGAGCAAATGTAGATGAGGCAGGGGGTAGATTGTATCTGAGGCAAACAGGATACAGCCTTTCCGTTCACAATACACGCTTAATATGCTGTGGATTATTCATCTACCCGCCTCGCGTGTTTTAGTAAGAACACGCCTGGGATTCGAGCCTCGGTCTGTGATTTAATCTCAATCTCAGCAGCTTTTCCTTTAACGCTCCCCCACACAAGTCATTAGCCTGAGGGGAGGCATCGGCTCAGCCAGGCAGCAGCAATAAATTGTCAGATAAAAGCACAGCCCTGAACTCTGTGTTAGCAGAAGCAGGAGCCTCACAGGGCTGTTTGCTCAGAGCAAAGACTAACACTGAGAACAACTGTAAGCATCTGTTTTCCTCCACAGACAAGCTTGTGTTTGTTTGTTTCGTTTTGTGAAGAAACGTGATTTAAGCGTAAATGGGTCCGGCAACAAGAAATTACTGTTGCGTTTATTTTTGGTTATTAAACTGAAAATAATAAAACATGTTATTTCCCCAACTGCAGAAATTTAAACCACAAGCTCTAATTTGAAGATATATTCAGTTTTTTTACTCCTGTAAATAACAAAGGGAAGCAGGGTTTCACTGATATATTACCTGAAGATGATAACTGCTCTGCTTTTTAAAATGTGCCAATTAGATCAGGGTTTTTCCTACTTCAAAATAAGCCTGTGTATAGTTAAAGCAACAACATTAAGTAGTTGCATTTACTTGTTCCTGATAAACACGTTTTAACCTGAGTCAGGAAATCAAAGTAAAACCACTTTTGATCAACGTCATCACCACCCCCCCACCCTGCTGATAAACAGTGCATTTTGCTGTAACTTCTGGCAATCTGATTAGTAAAAAAAATATTTTATGCATAAGTTTATGAAACCCCTATTTAAATGTTTTTAATTATGATCAGATTACATTGTCATTTGGAGTTGCCAACATGTTTCTAATGCAGGAAAGAGACTGAAGATCAATTTGATCTGTTTTGGCTGACTAACTCTTCAGACAGTGTGTTAACTGAAAGTTGGGTCATTATATTAAAATGAGGCATTGTAAACAGAATAGTTGATCCTCTGTAGGCCACTATATCAGACTTTTATTGTGCCCTTTTATTTATTTATTTATTTATTTAAATTGGCCCACAAAAGTCAGTTAATTTATATACCACTAGTTAAAAACAAACAAACAAAAAAAACAAGTAAGCTTTGAGCCCCTGTAGGCTCATCCCTGCTGTTATTGTTGCTGGAGACACGCTGACTGCTGTGAGCCTACAGCAAAGTTTAACCAAATATCTGAGAGTCTAAGCTTGCAGTTTGCACACGCACATCTTTAATTAAACACTTACTAATTCAGCTTCGCTGTCACGGTGTAAAACAAACCGGCTTGGATTGGAGAAGCTAAAAACATCACCATCTTTAAAAGTTTGCTTCAAAGGGGAAGTGGCTGGTGGAAACACAGTCACTGGTACAAAAAGAGGAAGTGGCAACAAGTTGCCCAATGCACTTTTTCACTAGCCCCACCCAAAAAAAAAAAAGGGGGGGGCAAAATAAACTAGCCAAAAATAAATTCATTAATAAAAATGAAAAACTGCATTTTTCTTCTAAACATTTGTACTTCCCTAAGGAAAACCATCCAACCACAGCTGCAAATTAGCACTAGATCAAATGAAATAATCTATGTACAAAATTAAATGATTAACTATGGAGCTTTAAACAGTTTTGTTTAGAGTAAACAAGAAATCTGAAGAGTTATTCTGCACTCCAATCTGGGTTTTATTCCATAAATCATCTCATGTAGTATTCTTGTTGCACGTGTATATAAAAACCCAGCTTCAATGAAATGTCATCTTATCATGATATGAAACTGAGCTGTAATCATCAAATTATCTCTGACATTTTCAGACAAAACCATTAATCATCTACTCATAAAAAAATAACAGTTTCAGCAAACTGTGTGGAAGAAAAATTACTAGTTGAAGCCGTACATCAAATCCTCTAATCTGAGAAGTATGCAGAGGTTTTGAACAACAGCTGTGCATTAAAAAGAAAAAGGGGAACAAAAAACTGAGAACTAGATGAGATGAAATGCTAGGATGAGATGATCACTATATGGCAGCACAGGTTAACAGCAACACAAACTGAGAGTTTTTATTCCCCAGAGTTACTACAAGACTCTTTTATCAGACATTAATAGCAGTGTACTGATTTATCTGCCAAGGGGTGTAACAAAGGTAACTGATCACAGAGTGATGACGGTCAATCTGCTGTGTAACACCAATTTTACACTGGCTAAAGGCCAAAGGACACTGTGATGAGAGTGTGGCAACAAAAACAAAGTAAACCAACAACATACATCTAATGGCATCGACTACTGCCCAAAATGTTTGCTAGTTCTACTGATGGACTGGTAAATGAGCAAAATAACCACTATAGCCGATTATACAGGCGACCAGGTGCCTTGTCCCACACTTTGTCTGGCTCTAGTTTACACAAGTCACGATATGTTATCTCACAAGAAAAAAGGGTCTCAAAGCAGATATATGAGGAATGCAGTCAAATTAAAAGCCTTCCACGAGTCACCTGGGATCGGGTCACAATATTAATGTCCTCGTAGTTAATTAAACATTAAGTTTAATTAAGTTTCAGTCAGACATAAGATGGAATGTATTTACTTTATTAAATATCCGTTAAAAACAAAAAATAAAAACTAAGTGACACTGAGGTTTGAGAAGTTCATTAGTGACTTTATTAGTGTACTTTAACGGCTAACGGCAACTTCCAGGGGTAATAAAGGCGAACACTGGGTGGATTTTTTTTCCACAACTGGTTATTACCGTCGACATAAAACTATCTCTACTCTGACTCGTGGACATTTTTTTCAGAAAATTTTACTTCTGCAGTGATTTCAAGAAACCGTGTCGTGAGCCTCGTTGGCAAAGCCGCTGCTCGGAGCCCATTGTTGCTCCTTCGTTAGCCTGTAGCCCCCTACTCCCCTTCCCTTTTGCAAGTCCGGCGACTCACCCAGAAAATTAGGCTGTAGGATATGAGGAAAGTCTTCAGGCAGGTAATCACTGGCTTCGTCTGAAGCCGGCGAGACGGTGGCGACATGTTGGAGTTTAGTTTTTTAACTGAAAAAAGAGGGAAAAGCTTCACTTCCCAGCGTCCAGAAACGAAGAGAGAAGAAGGGGAAAAAGTTCTGGATCTGAGGAGAGAGGGGGAAGTGTCGTCACTTACCCAGACTCACTTTCCTGGAAGATAAACAGCTCAGCTGGACAGACTAGCGTCAAGTCCGCAACAGCTACAGCGGTAAAACGCCACACGCGCACACAGCTATCAAAATAAAAGCCCAGCTGCGACGTTTTTGCAAGGGAAACGGTGTCCAACATGCGGTCCGGGGGGCAGAATTGGGCCGCCACAGGGTCCCACTCGGACTGTTTGACGTGAAGTCATTTACTGCTTCAGTTTTTCAATATAATTAATTTCTTCTTGTTTTCTGCTGATGTTAGCCTTCCTGCACAGGAGTGATACTGTATGGCAAGCATTTCTAGACCAATACCAGCTGATGTAACCATAAGGAGGTGCAAGCGGTGGGAAATGTTCACAGCTTTTAGTGTTACCAGCTGTTCCTGCGCATGGAGGAGAGGCTGGGTGCTTCCTTTACTTAGTGAGGGACTGGGAGTTAGTGAATGGCTGTTTACCTGTGAGTGATTCTGCCTGTGCAGCAGTAGTTTTCATTTTCCTTGCCAGGATAGACCATTTCTTAGGATTTGTTTCTGTGTTTAGACCCCACACATAGGGGTGGGGGAGTCCTGTCAACGGACCTGTCACCAAGTTATTCTTATGATTGTATGTTTAATCTCTTAATCATTTGTTATCTCATAAGGCCATTTGTTTTTTGTAAAACAGGCTGCAGCATGAGCCCAGAAGCTCATAAATTTAGCAATTCCTGGCTAATTACATCCCATCCCCCATAAGAAATGGTTCTGACTTCCAAGAATTGCAGCTGTCCCAGTTTGCTGTGGTATTCATGATTGTGGCTTTTTGGCTGTGCAGGGTTTATAGTGTGATTTTGATAAACTGAGTTATCCACTTGCTGTGTAGCGTTTG